CCCAAGTCGAAGACTTCCTTTCAGATGTTGCTACGAGAATGTTCCCCACTAGCAACTACGTGGCCGACGTGCACGTGGCGGCTGCAACCATCCAACCCGAAGACTTCCCACAACTCAGGGAAGCACTCAACCAACGACTAACGCGCTACGTGAGACTCACCCGCCACTGGGGTCACAGAGACCATTCACGCAAATTCCTGGAGCGCCGCGTCCTTGGCGTGGCGTCTCCGCAGTGGAGAGCATCGGAAAGGCGGACGAGAGCCCTTTTCTGTAAAGGCCCAGGTACGCAACACCCCGTTGCAGTTCTTCATAGATACCGGGGCCGACATCAGTTTACTTAGAGAGCGCGACAGAGAGAGAGCGGGCGTGCCATTCTCAGGGCGAAGCATGAGAATCGACACAGTACTAGGATCTGGCACCCTGCCCCTCACAGCACCAGCCGAGACGCCCATCGGCGAGCACAAAAAGGACGTCACCTTCGCGGTCATGCCGCCAAATGACCTGCCCAACCTACTGGACACACCCGACATGGACCTACTGCCCACGGTAGGCAATACCAGAATGGCCCTATGCGCCAAAAGGGGATACGTCGACGAGTTACGAGACGGCGAGCACCGCGAGCGGCTGTGGGAGCTCCTGGAGGAGCTCAAGGATACGTGGGAAGACCCCAAGGTGGCGCAGGTCAAGTACGAAGCACGGTTCGAGGTCTCAAGACGCCCGCACAAGGTCAGGGTCCGCCACTACGAACCCCAAATGCTGGAGGAGTTGAAGAAGCAGGTCGCGAAGCAACTGGAGCTGGGAGTCATCCGACCCTCTAAGAGCGAGTGGGCTGCCGCTCCTCACTTTGTTAAGAAGAAAATCGGAGAATGGAAGTACCCCACCAGCAAGAAGGAGCTACAAAGCTTCTTGGGGATGTGCGGCTATCTGAGGCCCTTCATCCCTCAAGTTCTCCCACATCACGGTGCCGCTGTTCGACCTGCAAAAGAAGGACAGGACTTAAGAGTGGCGGGACAGGACTTAAGAGTGGCGGGACGTGCACGAGAACGCCTACCATCGGCTCCAACACGCCGTCCAGGGCACCGTCACGCTGCATGCCCCTACTTAAAATGGCGAATACATCATAGAGACCGACGCGTCCGAGTTAGGGGTCGGGGCTGTACTCAAACAGGTGCAAGGCGACGCTGAAGTACCCGTCGAGTTCGCTAGCAAGAAGTTCAACCTCCACGGAGTCGCGCTGGGACACCAGGAAAGGGGAGTTGTTCGCGGTCAAGTGGGCCATCGAGAAGAGGCGAGACTACGTCAGCCTCTCGCACTTCACGGTCAGGACAGACCACAACAACCTATGGTACCTCACCAGCGTGGACAAGGGCAAGGTCTTCTTACTAAGCGACTACGACTTTACCATCGAATTCATCTCCGGCGAACCCAACAACATAGCTGACTGACTTAGCAGATACGCCGGCGACGACGAAGGAGACGACGCGCTATTAGACCGGATGACACTGAAGGTCGCGGCTGTGTGGGCACCCAGACTGTCAACCTCCCTTCAACCCCGACAAAGGAAGACTTCGTCAAAGCATACGCCGAGGAGGGGAACCCCAACCTACCAGGTCTCCACTACAACGGCCTGTGGTGGATCCATCTCAGGACAAAGAAGATTTACGTCCAGCAAGGACTACCGACAGGGGCGCTGGGAAAGGCTGCCGCTATGGACGTCGTATTATTCGACCACGTGGGACCAATACACGCGGGAGGCGCCGACTGAAATATCATCGTCGACCATGCGATGCGGTATATGATGGCCAAAATGGTTCCGACGTTGGACGCCACGCAGACGTTCAGGACCTTCTACCGGCACTGGATAGTCCCGTACGGGCCACCACGAATAGTACTGACGGACAACGGCACCAGTTTCCGAGGGGTCTTCCGCGCAAAGGTAACGTACCAGCTAGGATGTAAGCACGTGACCGCCGCGCCGTACCGACCACAAGGGAACGGCATTGACGAGGCCCCTCACCAAGAACTACACAACGTACTCTCACAAGTCCCAATGGCAAGAAGGCGTCAGAGACAGGGAACTAATGGTGGGTGCAGTCACTCGCCTGCACAACGTAACGCTCCACTCCGCGATAAACACGTCCACTCCGCGATAAACACGTCCACTTCGCGATAAACACGTCCCCGTCCGAGGCAGTCTTCGGCAACCTCCCCATTCTGGACAAACTGCAGGACATGATCCCACGGAGCTCAGAGCAAGAACGCAAGCAAGTGCAACAACAAATGCTCCGAGAGCGAATGGCCGAGTCCCTCATCAGAAGCCGACCGTTTGAGGCACACCCAACCCACCGACCGACCAGGAGATATCGTCGTGGAATTTGTCGACCCAGGCTCCGCAGCATCGTCCCTCAACGGACCGGAGACGCCAAGGTGGTTCGCGCCCAAGTGGTCACTCCCCATGAAGGTCGAGTGGTCAATGAAGGTCAACATAACCCGCACGCAAGTAGAGGTGGGAAGGTACGGCCAGCCAGGCCCAACGTTCCAGGTACGGCCAGCCAGGCCCAACGTTCCAGGTACGGCCAGCCAGGCCCAACGTTCCAGGT